CACCAGCTGTCGCGGCGTATAAAGCACATACGCACATGTTCTTCACGAACTAGTCACAGATCTGGATCTACCTTCAATACTTATCCATCTCTGTAAGTACTCGAACCGTACTCCCGTCCGTGTTCGAAATCACGAATGTCCGACCTCACTGTCCGACATGTTCGACTGTTCTTTTATTCATTAAGATCCCATTTCACCAACATACTGGCTGATTCTCGCAAGTCTCGCATAAGTAAGCGTTTCAATAGTACCATAGCAATAGTATCAGCTGCTAGAGTCGAGCAGTATTCATGCCTTCATTCACCTTGCTTCCAAATGGTTTGTTGTCGACACAAGATCGGGCTGCCGTCTTCACACTGACATCACTTTGTTCATGCTTCCAATCTTGAAGTATTCGAGACACCAATAATCGCGGTGCGATGAGCCTCCGAGTTTTGATTTAATCTGCGATATGCAGGGATGTAAGATATTGTTATTCGCTTAGAGGTGCTTGGACATCATTTCAATACTGCTGTAGGCGGTTCCGACGCATCGATCATCACATCAAACATTCATGGATTGTTACCTCGTTCTAAATCTGTCTAAATCCTGGCTAACGCCAGGATCATAGCGTATGTCATCTTGCGACGCCATGCGTGAAACCAGCACTGTGTTGTATAGCCCCTTCATTGCAATCCTATTGCTTTCTCCTCTTTTCTTCGCTCTTCGTTTTTTCTTTCCTTTTCCTTTTTTCTTCTTCTCTCCCCTTCTTTTCTCCCCGGGGGATCTAGTATAAACTGCTCCACCAGCATAAAATAAAAACCGTTTGACCAAAAATGGTTCCTTTTTGCTCCGACTCATTCGACAGTCTGAATGTCTTAGCTGATTCGACTCCGTCGACCAACTCCAGCTGCTCGACTCAGTCGACTAAATATTTCTTCTTAGTTCGTTTTTTAGCCTTTACGGCACGTTATGTCTGCCTTCCCCACCATTTGCAGACCTTACCGTACCTTTATACCTTGTTACAGTTGTCGAGTTACGTGAGTTGTTGATAGTGATTGTTGTTGTGGTGGAGGTTTTGTTTGCGTGGTCTGTACACGTGTACGTGTACGGTGCACGCGACGCACAGGCTACTGTACAGTACACTTCAACCTGTGAATCCTATAGGTCGAGTCACGAGTCCCGTTCCTATTAGAATTCTGTCAACCAATCACCGTCTTCACCATATCCAGCAGTAGCTACATCAATGCACAAGTATGCTCTCTGAAGCATAACAATAGCACGTTAAGCTGTACACTTATAATAATGCTAACCACCTTGAAACTGAAACCCTGTCTTTCTTTGCTCCAAGTCGTGTAAAAGTCTTGAATCAGCCTACCTAATCCAATTCCACACTACAAACAACAACAAGATGATGTGTAGGAAAATAAAGTAAAAACGCTTGACTTGTTCAAATCATGACAATAAAAACAAAATAACACAGGTCTATCAATCAAACAGTACCAGTAGGCTGCATCTCGTCGATATCAATTGGCTGTCAACTTCACACTAAGGCAATTGATCTCCATCATCATTGGACAAACAACCCTTCGACTCCATGTCGTAAAGACCAGCCATAATGCTGATCCCTTTCCATTTTTTCTCATTGATCAACTTCGCGATGGTTTGCTTCTTGACAGCTTCTGGATCGGAAGAGTCTGATAGTTCTGTTGAATTGATATCCAAGAGACTTTGAAGTGGTAGTGTTTTGTCATCGACAGTCAACTGGGCTTCGAGCTCTCTTAAGCGGTTTGCGTAAGCACCGACGAGAGCCCAGTTGCTGGCAAAGAGGTTCTCTGTGAGTTTCTTTTGGGATCCTGATAGGGTATCATCAGGTAGTACCTGAGAGTACAAGATAGTTGACAAACCGTTATCATCACGCTCGTTGTTTCCCTCCTTTGCGACGTCAGCCTGGGAAGAAAGCGCCAGTACCTTGTCCCAATCTCCAGAGTCAACAGCAGAATCAATTCTCTCTTTTACCATTCCAGAAACTTCACACGAAAACTCTTTCTCATCAGCAATTTGTGTCGCTGCAGCAGCCGATTGGCTCAAGAAGTACCCACCCTTCATTTCTTTCGCAGAACTGCTTTCATCTGCATAGAGCGCCGCAGTCACGGCAACGCCAGTCCAATCTCGATTCATTGCAAGTCTATCCAGTGTCCTAGTACGCTGCTGATCTTCAAGAGATAGATGCGAACGGTCTTGATCGAGAGCAGGATAGTTCCTGTGGTTTCCTTGCCCACCATAGCTTGAAATAGTACTCAAGTCTTCATTTTCCGAAAGTTGGGAAGCCATGTTGTACACTTCATACCAGTCGGCTCTACTGATAGCCTTGAAAACCGCATCAACATCCGAAGTCATGCTTAGGTTGAATTGACTTGTATTCTTTGCTAGGTCATGGTCTTGCATTATTGTAGGCAATGCTCTAACCAACTCATCGGCGAGCGTGTCTGATTCAGGAGAGCTCTCGGTCTTGTACGAGATATTGCTCTCTACATCCTTCGTAGATTTCATTTGTTGTTGAAGGCTTCTGCGTTCCCCACCGACGAGGAAAAGAAGCAGCAAACAAGCAGAACCAGCTGTCGCCGCTCCAATAATATTGGTAGCATTTGTTCCTGTAGCCTTTGCACCTGTCGCAGCAGGTGTATCAGCATAGCTATTATCAATGTCAATGAGTTCAACTCCATCAGAAGGAGTACCTATATACAACAAAAGAAGAATCAGAAACTCATCCTGGCGAAAAAGGTGTCAAAACTGAAAATCTTACCAAATACAGCGTACTCAAGTTCATAGCAGATGTTGTTCACGAGGCTATCGACCATCAATCCTTCTGATGATACGATATAGCCAACTTCATGCATTACTGTTCCGATGGTAATCAAACTTTGCAAGCATGCTGATGATCTCGTATGACACATTTCCGAAGCAAAGGCAAATTGAATGTCTTCATCCAATGTTTCAAACGAAGCATCTTGATCGCATCCTTCAACGCCAAATTGCGAACATAGACTCAGAAAGGTTTCTGTGAACTCCTTCTGTGTAATGATCTTATCGCTCAAGACGTCACTGCTCAGCAGTCCTTCTGAGCATTGATTCACAAATTGGACCTGTTCCGAAGTAAGTCTACGGCTGTGATCTTTCCCTCGGAGAACCGATCCTTCGAGTGCGGACGCCGCGGTAAAACCTAGTGCCATGGCAACACATGACAACATCGAGGCAACTTTTGTACTTCCAAGCAACATCGTTCGATAAAATTTGGAAGTTTGTGAGTGACAACAGAAATGATTCTACATGGATTCTGTTGGATGGATTCTTGTTTAGTCGAGTGAACGAGCCAGCATGTTATATAAACTATTAAATGCCTACCCAACGCAATAAGTGATTTGTGGCGGCAGAAGAAGAAAAATGTGATCTAACGCTCATTTTCCACGGTGGTGCGCCATCGGACGGATCGTAGGTCGCAGTAGTCGGCTGATTGGCATGTCACAGACTAGACTCAAGGTAGGGGAAACAAAAGGGGAACGCGAGGCTGCTGACGGTGCATAATGTTGGAGAGAAATCAGAACTCTTGACACACAGATAGCTGAAAAAGAGTAGTAGATTTTCGCCTGCATGTGCCAATCGAGATACTAAAATTATATTACGCTGGCACTACAAAGGTAGGTTTGTAAAGTAATGAATAATGAACAAACCCCTTTTTTGCTGCTGTCTGCTATTTGTCCAGCGAAATGTCTGATTTACTACCAGGTGAACCGGTATTTTAAACTATATTCAATATACAGTACAGTACCGGTATAATCGAAGATTACCGGCACCGCCTCCACTCCTGAGCTTGAGCCGCATGATGTAGTCTTGTCTGTCAAACCGCACACGAATGCTACTGTTGGATATATTAGGATTTTCGAAGTACATATTTGGAGAAACGAGAAAAAGAGAATACATGTGACGATAGGTATGTGATGTCGACTGATACGACTAAAAATGAAGACTGATACGACTAAAAATATCGCCCGTGGCGAGCCAGAATACAGAATATATTTCTATGGAAATCATCCTGTTGATGATGTAAGAAAGCAAGACTAAAGCAAGAACCAAAGTTGGATACTAATCAAAGTACCAACTACAGTGGAAGGTGAACGAATAAGCAGATTGAACTTGCAGCATATCAGGCTGACGTAGAGAGAATTCTGAGAATTTCCACTGAGCTGGAGAAGAAAGAGTCAAAGTCAAAAGTTGACAGATTGTT